AAAAAAAAAAACAAACTATACAATGTCACTACAAAACGTTACGATTTGTATGAAACTGAAAACTAAGATGAAAATTTTTATTTTTTTTGTTCGTAGTCGTAGTGAACGATGCGTACTATTGAAGCGCGTGAAAAACCTTTTCTGGAAAATTGTAAAAGCTTTTCTTTCTTTCTTTCTCTTTTCCCCATTTTCCTCTCTCTCTATCATTTTTTCGAAATTTTTTTTTTTTCTTTCTTTTTATACCACACCGTTACTTTTTTCCGTATCTTTTTTTTATTCTTTTTAAATTCCGTTCGTTTTTCCCCCTTTTCTTCCCCCCTCTTCCCCTTCCCCCTCTTTTCCTTCCTTATTTTCTCTCTCTCTCTCGTTTTCTTTTTACCTTTATCCTTGTTTTTTTTTTTTTACCCCTATTAACATTAGAAACCGATAATCACGACTAGGGAATTTTTATTTTTCCGACTGGAAAATTCGTGTTCTAAAAATTTAATTTTTTTACAAAAGTAGCTTAATACGGTCCTGTAAAAAAACGAATACGAAAAGTTTCGATTGGTATTTTTACGAATTTTTATTCCGCCATATTTAAAAAAATTTAATTCTCTCTCTCTCTTCGATTTTTTTTTTTTTTTTTTGAAATAATCCTTAAACCGTCACTGACATTTTTTAAAAAAACTTTTTTTTTTTTTTAAGGATGACCCGAATAAAATTATTAATAAAAAATATATATTTATGTACTTCAAAGAGTTATCGATCAACGGAAATCGATCGATTAAATTATCATACTAATAACTATCGTTGATGATAATAATAATAATAATAATAATAATAATTTATTTATTTATTTACAGGTAATGTGGGTGTAATGAAATGAATTTTTTATTTAAAAAAATTGACCAGAAGGTTGTTTTTGTAAAAAGAAAAGTTTGTGTAGGGTGAGAGAAGAGGAGGAGGAGGAGGAGGGAAAAAAATTGTGAGCGTTTTGTATATGTAAACGAGTTCGTTACGAAAATTTTAAAAATGGAGAAAAAAACAGAAAAAATTCACAAAAGGTAATAACGTAACGTTTTTTTTTTTTTTATTAAATTTATCGCGTAAAAAATAAAAAGTTTTAAAACAAAAAATTGCAAACCGGATTTAAAATGTCGAATTGAATTAATTTAAAATGTAATTTTTGTAAAAAATACCTCGAGGATAATTTTTCTGTTTTTGTTTTTCTGAATTTTACAATCGTTACGAAATATTTAAAAGCCTGAGGTATAAAACGTGGCACGAAGTTTAAAAATCGAATCAACGTGACACGATATAATTTTCAAATAAATAAATTAAATTTCGAAAATTACGTTTCAGGTGATTTTACAAAAAAAATTTAAAATTTAAAATTTTGTCGGAGAAAAGAAAAGAAAAATGAAAGAGAGATGAGAGGGAATTTTGTCGATATTTTAAAAATTTACGACAGAATTAATATCGTCAATTAAAAAATAAATAAATAAATAAAAAAAACGAAAACCGAAAGTTTATAAACGAATTTGTTTTAAAAAAAATTTTTTTTTTTTTTTTTAAATTGGCAAAAGTTTAATGGGTCAAAATAACAAATAAAAATTAAATAATAATAATAATAATAAT